GATAACAAAAGAAATTTCTAGCGGGTCACGATTTTCTTTATCGTTAGACGAATATACGTCTTTAAAAAATCGACGTTATTTAAATGTAAATTTACACTTATCAACAAAGTTTTGGAACCTGGGAATGACTCCGATAGCTGGATCACTTCCTGCAGAAAAAATTGTTGATCTAGTTGAAAATAAACTGTCAGATTTCAGTTTATCAATTAAAAAGCACATCATAGCTAGTGTCACTGACGGAGCATCCGTAATGAAAAAATTTGGACGGCTAAGTGGTATTGAACATCAGCTGTGTTATGCCCACGGACTTCATTTGGCAGTATGTGATGTTCTTTACAAAAAGTCAGACTCTTCAGCAAAATATATTGAATTTGAATCGCAGTTTCAAGATTCCGATGAAAATTTGAGTGATTACGACGAGTTTGATGATGTATTTGACTGTAATGATGAGTCACACAGCTCAACAGGCGTTACGTTTATTGATGATTACAAAATAGCGTAAATATAGCCTTAACAATTCAGAAGGTTCGAAAAGTGGTTCGAATGTTCCGTAAATCACCTCTTAAAAATGAAGTTTTACAAATGTACGTAAAATCTATGTTTAATAAAGAGCTTAAGCTGATATTAGATGTCAAAACGAGGTGGAATAGTCTTGTTGCAATGCTAGAAAGATTCCTTAAAGTAAAAACATGTATACTAAAAGCAATGATCGATTTAAAAGAAGTTCTGAATATCTCCGAAGATGAATATGCGATTATGAACGACATAACATTTTCTCTTCAACCAATAAAAGTTGGAATAGAAAGACTTGGTAGAAGTAATGCTACTCTACTTGACGCAGAAGGTGTAATGATATTCATCTTAGACGATTTGACGGAGAAAAAAAATTTTATAGCTAATAAACTGCTTCAATCTGTGCAGCAGAGAATTGAAGAACGCAGAAATGCCAATTTAATTGGATTACTAAAATTTTTAAACAACCCAATTAGTTATAATCAGGAATCAAATATCAACTCCAAACTACTCTTACCGCCCAAACATGCATTAAAAGCAACAGCAAAAAAAAATTTATACCAGGTTGTACATAGAGGATGCTAGCCTTAGTTCATCAAATAATGAAATAGTTGAAGTGAGTCGTGATAATGAAAGCATGGTTTCTGACCCGTCAATACCTCAACCTGTTGCTCCATATTTATTAGGCAAAAGTATTTTGACGCTTGAACAAAAATTGGATGCGACTATTTGTAATGTCAAACAAGTAGAAAAAGCAGCTCTAGAAAACATTAGCAATTTAAAAAACCTCACAAAAGAAATCAAACTTTTTGAGGCAACTGGAAAGCGTAGCGAAAGTTTAGAAAGAATATACTCAACATTAATGACCATCAAGCCGACATCAATTGAATCAGAAAGGGCTTTTTCTGCCGCGGGTCCTATTTATGGGAAAAATTCGTTCACGATTAAGTGACAAATCAATTGATTGTTTATGTTTTTTAAAACAATATTTCATTTTAAATAGTAATATAGATTAGCGTGCTAAGATAAATTTGTGTCAGAAACCGCTTGTTATTATATTAAAAATTATGCCGGGAAATCCCGGGAAATCCCGGGATAAATAAGTTACACACCGGGAATCCCGGGATGCTAAATTTACGGGAAATGAGAAACCCTAGTTTTAAATCGTGAAACTAATGCTTATTTAGGTTTTTATAGATACCCATAAAATTAGACTCCAAACAGTTAGAAAATTAATTTCAAATAAATAATGTAAAAAAGAAAAAGAAATTTTTTAAATTTAAATCAATCTAAATATTATTTTTAAAATTGTTTAAGCTCAAAATTATTCAAGATTAAACTTGCAAGCGCCTCTTTAATCAAAATCTCACAAAATTTGAAAGGAATTTTATTTGAATAGCCTCTAACTACTGCAAAATTATGCAATATTGAAATTGACCTACTCTAATGACCTACACACACAATAAAAATACATTTATACTACGAATATAACTATATATATATATATATATATATATATATATATATATATATATATATATATATATATATATATATATATATATATATATATATATATATATATATATATATATATATATATATATATATATATATATATATATATATATATATATATATATATATATATATATAATATATATATATATATATATATATATATATATATATATATATTATATATATATATATATATATATATATATATATATATATATATATATATATATATATATATATATATATATATAGAGATATATATAGAGATATATATATATAATATATATATATATATATATGTATATATGTATATATATATATATATCTATATATATATATATATATATATATATATATATATATATATATATCTATATATATATATATATATATATATATATATATATATATATATATATATATATATATATATATATATATATATATGTATATATGTATGCATATTATGGTTAAGTCATATTTTATGTACATAAACAAAAAAAGCGAAAATGCAACTAAGAATACTTAAAATTAACAATCATTTTAAAAAATATTATTGCATAATTATGCAACATCATGATAAGTAAAGGGAAAATGTTTTGATATGTCTAATAATAAAATCCCGTTTTTTAAGAATGTTTTAATACTT